ATTTAAAAAAGAAGCTAAATGTCCATCCACAGTAGAATGGATAAAAGTGTGTTGATGTACATGCATGAAATGGAATCCCAAAAGCAGTGAAAATGCATAAAACAAGCAACAAATGGCTATCTCAAGAAAATAACATGGAAATGAATAATTTCCATATAAATCTCAAAAACAAAAATTAAATATTTGTCACAGGTTATATATATATATATATCTAGGCCTCTCCCAAGAGCCTTGTGCTCCAATAAGGTGGGGCTTTTGGGAGGCGTCCAGATTAAGGCTGCTTCAAGATGACTTGCTCTTAGAAGGGAGGATCTTATCAGAAGAGGAAGGTCAGTGTGGGCGTGGCCTCCCTGACCAGCTTCACCTTCCACTCTCTCTGCTTCCTGTCTGCCATGCCGTGAACAGCTCTCCTGCACCATGCCCCTCTGTCTGTCATTCCATCCAGCCTTCGAGATGGCTAACCATGCAAGCACTGAAATTTCTACAATATGAGCCAAAGTAAACCTCCCCTCCTTCAAGTTGGGGATGTCAGTTATTCTATCCTGGTGGTAAGAAAAGGAACCGAGACAATGTTGTCTAGGTGTAAGTACCCATGTCCTACTATAATGATAAATACAATGGGGAAATAATACCTCCTAGGTGGGAATGAAGAGCATGGGGTTGGGAAGGGAAGCACAGGATACTTCAAATTTCTAATTTCTTGCTTCCTGTACCAGATCGAAGCTTCATTTAACTCCACATTGGCAATTTTCTTAAGCAATCCACCTGTATATGCATCATTCAAGAGGCTAAGACAAGAGAATCACAAGTGCAAGGCAGGCCTGGAAATCATGGTAAGACCCTGTTGAAAGAAAGGGAGGGAAGGAAGGAAAGAAAAAAAAGGAGGAGGGATGGAAAAAGAGAGGAAAAGAATATATAAAGAGCAATCTTCTACGCTGAGTTACTAATGAGGAAGAAACTGTCATTTATTGAAGTAGAGTGGGCTACATGCTTTAATAGGTTATCTCAATAAACCCCCAAATAACTTGGAAAGCAGCTATTATTTTATAATTGAATAGGTCAAGAGAGATCTAATACTTTTCCCTCATGGGAAACTGTTTGAAGAAATGATTACTGAAATGTCCCAAATTTGACAAAATACTTGAAAATATACATCCAAGATGTTCAAGAAAATCCAAGTAGGATAAACTCCAAGATCCACAAAGCCATGCTGCATGCTTTGGGCAGGTCTAGTTCATCATCGGTGCCATTAGGGACCCAGTCTTTGTCTGCCTTCCAAAGTATTAGCTTCGTCCTAAAGCTGATTTCCTTCTTGCTAGAGGGTTCTGGAGTAGTTGAAGCTGCATACTTCTGTATCCTGGGACTGCTTCAAACGTCCTTCCCAAAAGGCCCCAGAAAATCTTTTCCTCAATTCTCTGAGGCCCAGTCTGGGCTAGGCCTTGGCTTATACTAATCAAAGTGGTTAAAAAGAATGTCTACCACACTTAGCGCTTAAGGCAACGACACATGGACATCTAGATCAAGAGATGAGATGAGAACTAGAAGAAAGTGATGACTCCAAAACCAAGGGAGTGAAAAATTTCAAGATAGAGAAAACCAATGTTCAAAGCCCAGACAGATCCAGTAGCATAAAGTAAACATACAGTTCTACTCCTTGTACCACAATGAGAACATGTATTCTAACAAAAATAAGAGCATTTCCAGAAGTAGCTGACTGATACTATCCTAGAGAGTTAAATGTACCTAAAGAGTCAAGTCAAGTTTATCAAGAGCGTTGCCTGGGCTCCAAAAAATAGCCTAAGAAAAAAAGTTTGTTCTGCTGAGTTCTCCAATGTAAATATATCAGGGCAGATCTTTACTTAAATCAGCTACAGACACCTGTGTTTCTTTAAGGAAAGCCTAACTACAGTTTCTCTTCTACGTAAGAATATGAAGGTTGGCTGCTAATATAGAATGAAGGCTTAGAAGGCAAATCTAAACACCAGAATGATTTAACCCTAAAGCCCCCTCTGTCAGACGCTTTCATGGAATCTGATTTTTCTCTTTCAGTAAGGCCTATCTTTTCCTACTGCTTTAAGGTACCAGCTAGTAAACACAGTGCTGACCATTTTATTTGAACCAGAATCTGCATGTCTAAAAGAAAGAGAAATTTTGTAAGGGGGCAAAATAGTGCTGTGGTTATTTAGGGAAATGCCCTTATTTTGTAGAGATATACACTGTAATATTTAAGGGCATGATACTGTCGCACTAACGTAGGTTAGTGTTAAGACTGTGTGACTTAGCATTCCTGAGGCACTGGGTTCAATCACCAGCAGCCAAAAAAAAAAAAACCTAAGAAAGGAAAAGAAATAAAAAGAAGAGGATGGCAAAAAACAAATCAATAAAAAGAACAGAAGTTTGTTACAAAGTATTTCTGGACCAATATCTTTCTGTCCTATTATTTCTCTGGGCACCCCGAATGCAGAGAGAATATCAACATTGTGTTTTTATACCAATTGTTCAATGAAGTTTTATCCACATCTTTCTGCATCCAAACTAATTCAACAGTCACAAATCTGCTGACACAAATGCAGTTTCACACATTCAAGTGTCATACTAAAATCAGGATAAGCAATGGTCAGAAAAGGTATCCTTAATTATCCAGACCTTGTCAGCAACGCAGCAATCTCTACCCAGTGAGAGCAATATAAGGCTTGGATTCACTTACTGACATTATCTATGTATTGTGACTTAGATTCTCTTGGGTGAGAAGAAATAAAGGTTTCATAATGGATTTTTTTTTCTCTGAAAAAATCTAGCCGTTTATTTTTTAACTAAAAACATTAATATATGAATATGGTTATACACACACAGAGACACACACAGACATATGAAAATTTTCCTTGCAGCCTCAGTAATACTGATTTGTTGTTATTTTGGCAGTTCTGGGGACTGAACCAAAGATCTTTTTACTGAGTTACATTCCTAATCCTTTAAATTTTTTTTTTATGTTGAGACAGAGTTTCACTAAGTTGCTCAGGCTGAGCTGGAACTTTCAATCTTCTTGCCTCAGCTTCTCCCAGTGGTGGAATTATAGGTGTGCACTACTGTGCCTGCATTTTTATCAGGGAAATTGTAAGAAGGTGTCTCACTATGTTGCCCAGACTGGTATTATACTCCTGGGCTCAAGTGATCCTTCCTCAGCCCCCCAAGTACTATATCTGGAACTAATGGTATAAGCTACCATACCCAACTACCAACTGAAGCTATTGTTTAAAAAAAAAAAAAAAAAAGGCAAATTAACTGGAAATTACTCATTCAGCTGCAAAATCCCTGAAATAGGTTGAATATGCCTTGCAGGAGCTTCCAGAAAGAATCTGGGCACTCTAGAGACAGGCTTAAGAAAGGGTCCTTGAGGCTCAACACTTCATTTGAAAAATAATGGGGGAGGCGTGCTGCATTATTTCTAATAATGCAATAAGCCCTAAAAAGAATAAGTACATGTTCATCACATAGCAGCAAGTGCAGTGACAAAATTATTGCCCTAATTCTGGATATTAAATATTTTCACATGGAAAAAAAATGCAGGAAATCTTCTATTTTAGTAAAATACTGCTACCAGTACAGTTCCAGAGAAAGCTTTGGTAGCGAATTTGTGTAAGTTAGTCCAAGCACTGCCTTTCAAAAATGAAGATCTCAAAATCAGAGGTTCAGCATTGGTGAAGTCTATGTAATGGGGTTTGTACAATTTAAAGTGTACACACTGGGATGTCTGCTTGCAACCAAGATTGGATTTACTCTCTTTCCTGAAATGATAAAGAAAAAATGGACAAAATTCCATACCCTGCAAAATATCTTTCAAAAATAAAGGTGAAACACATGTATTTCAGACATATGCTTTGAAACAATTCATCATTAGCAGATGTACACTACAAGAAAATTAAGGTCCTTATGGCAAGGCCAGGAAAGGCACCAGATGAAAATTTACATTTACACAAAAGAATGAAAA